TTTCGATTTTTATTGACATATGGAGGCGAATGAAGGAGGCGGCCAGTCGAGTTGCGTTAGTCTGCGTCTGTCTGAATTAATTTTTTTCTGCGTGTGCGTGCGGTTTATGGATAGGCACAACCAAATGTTTTTTCTCACTGGCGGCAATGGAAATATCGCCACCGAGCGCGCGAAGAGACCTAACTTTTGGATGGTATTGTCGCGAGTGTACTACCTTAAATCTACTGTTAAATCATTTGTCAATAAAATAAAACACGATTAAACAGGAGGTGTTAAATTATGTATATTTTAAATATTTTAAATTTGTATTATACCAACAAAAGTCATAATTCTCGGCCAGGCGTCTAAATTCGTTTATCAACTATCTCCTAAAAAACAACATCGAATGTTTCCAGATCTACTTTCACACATGTGATACACGAAAGCTTTAATATCTGAGTTGAATTTCTTCCAGACTATCACGAAGAAAGTTCGTTTTAAACGTTACTCTGGGGAGGCATTCGCTGCTGCTGCCGCTGGAACGCACGGTCGCCCGAGGCGATAAGAAATAAAAATTATCATCATATGTGGATACCGCCGTGAAATGGCCTGTCACACGAACACTTCGTCTTTGCATTATTATTTCTTTTACTACGCCAGGGGCCGCTTTTATCGTCGACCTTTCCATAACACTTTGTTTCCCGTATACGACGCGATTTCTGCACCGCAGCCGTTTTTCCATACGGACACGTGTCGTTTTCCTTAGTTTATCGACATTTCGTCGCTGAAACAATGGTTTCGAGATCGTTTCAACGGTATTAGATCATAAACTCAAGTCTAATTTCGCTAGTAAACTCTTTTACAGATATAGAAATAAAGCATATCTTTTACAAGAAACATATACCTTTTATATAAGAGAAAGATAATAGGATATAAAATAAAAATTAAAAATTACTTATTAGACTTATTATAGAATTTATATAACCTTTCTGAAATTTAATTAAATCATTTTTTAAACACAATAGACAAATATAATATTAATATACAATTTCAAAATTGTTTTTGATATTATTTATTATATATTTTTATCTTACTTTCTTTACAATCTTAATATTGCCTGATATAACATTTTATGCAATACATCTTCAACTTAAATAAGTATATATCTTCATCTTTAATACTATTTTTTTTATCATCAATATTGCTATCGCGATCACGTTTATTGAAACAAACTCGTAGTAACTTTCTGATAAAAAATATCTTATAGAAGACGGGAGAAAAACGTGTTACACTGAAATTGTCACGCGCGTGAACAGCATTTAAATGTCCGAGTCGAAGCGACGCGGCACGGCACGGCGTGTCTTTGCGCTTTTCTCTCCTTAGAAACTTAGTTCATAAACTGCAACGCGATTAACTGGCGCTATCAACGTGACCAGAACATTCTGCCTCGAAGACAACGCGAGAAAACGCGAGAAACAACGGCGATGTCCCGGCTATAATGCGAGCTCAACGTATTTCCCCGACGCCCAACTTCCGCCAGGACGAACGGCCGACATCCGGGGGCGGGCGCATTTCTCTACAACTTGGTAATTGGCTTAGAACGAGCCTTCAACTCGCGAAATTTCTCTCGTGGAACCGTAGAGACACATATACTGCACTCGTACAATCGTGGAGAACAATTGTGGCCGCGCAACAGCCTGTGAAGATTGCGCGCATCATAAGTGCAAATCCAACAAATTTTTTATCTTTCTTTAACATCGGAGCAAATTCAATTGCTTCCTTGTAATTAAACTGCGTTAATAATTTCGGCAACTTTCTAGCTCTATTTCAAGCAATAATATCACTTTTGCACAATATAAGCAATAAGCAAAATTTTAAATTTGAATTGGAAGGTACTTTAAATTTAAAACCGAAAAATGATTGCTTGTAAATTTCTTTCTTCCGCTAAAACCTGAAATTCACGTGCGCCTTTTACTTCTCTCTCTCATGTTTATTGAGTAAAAAAATTCAATTATTGATCTTCGGTCGAGGACGGTGTCACAATATTCCTCCGTGCTTGAGCGATCGATTCAAAGTGTACCTTTGCCTGGAGATTCTTTATACAAAATTTCTGCAGGAGCGACGAGTCGTAGAAGCTCTCGATATCAGTGATTCCGTGATGAATTGCGGCTTCGGTTTTCGTCAACAATAGAGAATTCCAGGGCGCCCATTCAAGTTCGCGCCGGAAGCGCGTTAATCTTAGCTCGTCGAGGTCGTCGCACTCGGAGATGCCCGATCTACCGTGCCAGATTTTGTTCACCAGACGACAAACGACCTTGGCACCGATCACGAAGGCCAGACTGCCGTAACAGCCCATCCTGGCTTCGAAACGTCTGACCTCCCACAACATTCTCTCGTAGGGCTCATACACGATGCGAGGGCCTACCCGAGTTCGCATAGACGTGCAGTAGACACAAGAGGAAGAGCGCAATCGCCGTTCGCGGGGAAACTTTTCCAAGGATAAGAGCCTGCCACAGGTCCTACAGAGCCGTGTGATGCTGGTGTCCGACCAGTCGAGCAAATGCATGTCTTCCCTATCTCTCTCGCCTGAGATAAATAGAAATTATTAATTAATATCCAATCTTAACTTTGTAGTTTAAAAATAGTGCATATATACACTCTTCAACTGTTACAAATTTACATTTGCTGTTTTAGAAAAATTATTTGGAAAATTACGCTGCTATAAACGAAAGAAAAGATTGAAAAACCTTGCAGAGTATTGCGTGCCAGCTTGAGGAAACTCAGCTTCAGTCGATTCCTGAGCCAATTGAGTCTACTTGTGTTCACCTGACACGTTAAAAGATCCAGCTCTTGGTCTACTAAATAAACGAGCTCCTGCGATTGGTTGCACGTGTGTATATCAGCGATGTATTTTACGTCGTGCAATAAGTCGATCCGCTCTGAGATGGACATATTTTCGTTGGCTAGCGAGGCATAAATGTTTCTGTACTGGCGGGCTCGCTGAACGCGCAGGGTGTCCACCAGAATTGGCCGACCTCGACTGTCCTGCCAAGCAATCGGTCTGGATAATCCATTCAGGAATCTGTGTCGTTTCTGTTCTCTACACTTGAGACGAACAACCGTCTTCATGGAGTCTATGGCGCGCAACAGCTCGACCTCCTTCGATAGAATCAGGCCGCAAGCTGCAATCCTCGATGACCCAAGAAACGTCAGACTTGCCCGCTCAGTCTCAAGGATTCGCCAGCGGTCAAGGAGATTATACAGCGACTCGAAATCCGAGCTCGTGCGCGGCGGACAGCGATTCAGTATTACGAAATCCGTACCGCTGTAGGCGGACAGTATCTGAGAACATCCTGCTTGATGTTCGATCACGTTCATCTCATCATATTGAGAAACATCAGCCGCTTCGAGAGCGTTCGCTTTAGCTGCCATTCTAGTCCGATAAGCCCTGCAAACAAATCCGAATCAATAATTGCTTGGAATTTAGTGATCGTAGCATAATTTTCGTTCTGATATACAAAGTGTATTTTCACGAATTAAATTATGCGAATAGATTAATAAAAATTGTAATTCTCTTTTTCTTTTATTTTATATAATTTTTATACTGCTCCAAAAAAATTTAGAAATAATTATAGAAATACTAAAAGTTGTATTGTTAATGTAAACGTTTTTTCTATAATGTGATACATGTATAAAGAAATTGGCATATAAACATTATAAATATATTTTCGCAGAAAATTCCACATTTACCTATACTTAATCTTTTATATTGTCCCAACAAAAATTTAGAGACAATTATAAAAATGCCCAAAACTATATTTTTTTATTTTTCCTAATTTAGACGTTCTTTCTATTAGGAGTGTAATTTAATTTTGAGGGTTTTGCAAGATAATGGCACTAATGTCAGTATTGTCGAAGACATTCCAAT